ACTGGGGAGCCCCCAGCCCTTTCCCAGTCCATACTGGGGAGCCCTTATCCCTTCCCAGTACAGACTGGGACCACCCTTACCCTTCCCCAGTCCATACTGGGGAGCCCCCAGCCCCTTCCCAGTTCATACTGGGACCCCCCAGTCTCTTCCCAGTCCATACTGGGAGCCCCCAGCCTCTTCCCAGTCCATACTGGGAGCCTCCAGCCCCTTCCCAGTCCATACTGGGAGCCCTCATCCCTTCCCAGTATGGACTGGGACCGCCCTTACCCTTCCCCAGTCCATACTGGGACCCCCCAGCCCCTTCCCAGTCCATACTGGGAGCCCTCATCCCTTCCCAGTATGGACTGGGACCGCCCTTACCCTTCCCCAGTCCATACTGGGACCCCCCAGCCCCTTCCCAGTCCATACTGGGAGCCCTTATCCCTTCCCAGTACGGACTGGGACCACCCTTCCCCTTCCCCAGTCCACAGTGGGGAGCCCCCAGACCCTTCCCAGTCCATACGGGGAGCCCCTCCCCCTTCCCAGTACAGACTGGGACCGCCCTTACCCTTCCCCAGTCCATACTGGGACTCCCCAGCCCCTTCCCAGTTCATACTGGGAGCCGACACTGGTGGGCATCAGGTTTATTCGCGTCACAGACCCCCGGGTGCCTCCCAGTATGGGGGGGGTACTGGGAGGGGGGCAATAAATAAAGGAAGGGGGGCGGGCCAGGAACTGGTTTGTAGTGGTCCATACTGGGAGAAACCGTATGTGCATTAAAACTCCAGTCAGGGTGCCCTACCGGTCCATACTGGTCCATACTGGTCCATACTGGTCCATACTGGGAGGACACAAGGCCACGGCGGGTGAAGAGATCCCGGGCAAGACGCTGTTAACTGGTCCATACTGGTTCCGTACTGGGAGGAGGCAAGGCCACGGCGGGTGAAGAGATCCTGGGCGAGATGCTGTAACTGGTCCGTACTGGTCCATACTGGTCCATACTGGGAGGAGGCAAGGCCACGGCGGGTGAAGAGATCCCAGGCGAGATGCTTGAACTGGTCCATACTGGTCCATACTGGGAAGACGCAAGGCCACGGGGGTGAAGAGCTCCCAGTTGGGCCGCCGTACTGATCCATACTGGTCCATACTGGTCCGTACTGGGATGGCTGAAGGCCGTGTCAAGGCAGTGGTCCCAGTTGGGCCGCCGTACTGGTTTGTACTGGTCCAACCCAAGGCGATGCACAGGTGGGGCTCCCAGTTGGGCCTCCGGACCTTTTACTGGTCCATACTGGTCTGGCCCGAGGCAACGTAGATCCAAGGAGTTCCCAGCTGGGTGGTTGGTACTGGTTCATACTGGTTTATACTGGGATGCCCCCAAAGTGGGGTAGAAGCCCAGAGGGGGAAGCACTGGGCTGTACTGGTCCAAACTGGGACGTCTCCAGACCCAACGGGGGGGATCTATGGGGCCCAAGGGGTCCCCGAGGGGGGATCTATGGGGCGCTGAGGAGATCTATGGGGTGCCCAAAGAGATCTATGGGTCCCCCAGACCCAACGGGGGGGATCTATGGGGTTCTGTGGGGCCCAAGGGGTCCCCGAGGAGATCTATGGGTCCTTGAGGACATCTATGGGGTGGCCAAGGAGGATCTATGGGTCCCTGAGGACATCTATGGGGTCCCCAAAGAGATCTATGGGTCCCTGAGGACATCTATGGGGTGTCCAAAGAGATCTATGGGTCCCTGAGGACATCTATGGGGTGTCCAAAGAGGATCTATGGGTCCCTGAGGACATCTATGGGGTCCCCAAAGAGATCTATGGGTCCTTGAGGACATCTATGGGGTCCCCAAAGAGATCTATGGGTCCCTGAGGACATCTATGGGGTGTCCAAAGAGATCTATGGGTCCCTGAGGACATCTATGGGGTGTCCAAAGAGGATCTATGGGTCCCTGAGGACATCTATGGGGTCCCCAAAGAGATCTATGGGTCCTTGAGGACATCTATGGGGTCCCCAAAGAGATCTATGGGTCCCTGAGGACATCTATGGGGTGTCCAAAGAGATCTATGGGTCCCTGAGGACATCTATGGGGTGTCCAAAGAGGATCTATGGGTCCCTGAGGACATCTATGGGGTCCCCAAAGAGATCTATGGGTCCTTGAGGACATCTATGGGGTCCCCAAAGAGATCTATGGGTCCCTGAGGACATCTATGGGGTGTCCAAAGAGATCTATGGGTCCCTGAGGACATCTATGGGGTGTCCAAAGAGGATCTATGGGTCCCTGAGGACATCTATGGGGTCCCCAAAGAGATCTATGGGTCCCTGAGGACATCTATGGGGTGTCCAAGGAGGATCTATGGGTCCCCGAGGAGGTCTATGGGGTCCCCAAAGAGGACTTATGGGTCCCTGAGGACATCTATGGGGTCCTCAAAGAGATCTATGGGTCCCTGAGGACACCTATGGGGTGTCCAAAGAGATCTATGGGTCCCTGAGAACATCTATGGGGTGTCCAAAGAGATCTATGGGGTGTCCAAAGAGATCTATGGGTCCCTGAGGACGTCTATGGGGTGCCCAAAGAGATCTATGGGTCCCTGAGGACATCTATGGGGTCCTCAAAGAGATCTATGGGTCCCTGAGGACATCTATGGGGTCCTCAAAGAGGATCTATGGGTCCCTGAGGAGATCTATGGGGTCCTCAAAGAGATCTATGGGGTGCCCAAAGAGATCTATGGGTCCCTGAGGACATCTATGGGGTCCTCAAAAAGATCTATGGGTCCCCGAGGAGGTCTATGGGGTCCCCAAAGAGATCTATGGGTCCCTGAGGAGATCTATGGGGTCCTCAAAGAGATCTATGGGGTGCCCAAAGAGATCTATGGGTCCCTGAGGACATCTATGGGGTCCTCAAAGAGATCTATGGGTCCCTGAGGACATCTATGGGGTGTCCAAAGAGATCTATGGGTCCCTGAGGAGGTCTATGGGGTCCCCAAAGAGGACCTATGGGTCCCCAAGGATGTCTATGAGGTCCCCACATTGCCCCACACATCTCCATGTTGACTTAGGGGTCCCCAAAGAGGTCCTACAGCTCCCTAGGAGATGTCTATGGGGTCCCCACAGCCCCACACATCCCCACGTTGACCTAGGGCTCCCCATGTTGACTTAGGGGTCCCCATGGTGGCCTAGGGGTCCCCAAAGAGGACTTATGGATCCCCAGGAGATATCTATGGGGTCCCAACAGCCCCACACATCCTCACGTTGACCTAGAGCTCCCCAAAGAGAACCTATGGGTCCCTGAAGACATCTATGGGTCCCCAAAGAGGTCCTACAGCTCCCCATGAGATGTCTATGGGGTCCCAACAGCCCCACACATCTCCATGTTGACTTAGGGGTCCCCAAAGAAGACCTATGGGTCCCCAGGAGACGTCTATGGGGTCCCAACAGCCCCACACATCCCCTCGTTGACCTAGAGCTCCCCATGTTGACTTAGGGGTCCCCAAAGAGGACTTATGGGTCCCCAGGAGATGTCTATGGGGTCCCCACAGCCCCACACATCCTCATGTTGACCTAGGGCTCCCCATGGTGGTCTAGAGTTCCCCAAAGAGGACCTATGGGTCCCCAAGGACATCTATGGGGCCCTCAAAGAGATCTATGGGTCCCCAAGGATGTCTACAAGGTCCTCACATTGCCCCACACATCTCCATGCTGAGACCTATGGGTCCCCAGGAGACGTCTATGGGGTCCCAACAGCCCCACACATCTCCATGTTGACTTAGGGGTCCCCAAAGAAGACCTATGGGTCCCCAGGAGATGTCTATGGGGTCCCCACAGCCCCACACATCCTCATGTTGACCTAGGGCTCCCCATGGTGGTCTAGAGTTCCCCAAAGAGGACCTATGGGTCCCCAAGGACATCTATGGGGCCCTCAAAGAGATCTATGGGTCCCCAAGGATGTCTACAAGGTCCTCACATTGCCCCACACATCTCCATGCTGACTTAGGGGTCCCCAAAGAGGACCTATGGGTCCCCGAGGACATCTATGGGGTCCCCAAAGAGGATCTATGGGGCCCTGAGGACGTCTATGGGTCCCCAAAGAGGTCCTACAGGTCCCCATGAGATGTCCACGAAGTCCTCACATTGCCCCACACATCCTCTCGTTGACCTAGAGCTCCCCACGTTGACCTAGAGCTCCCCAAAGAAGACCTATGGGTCCCCGGGAGATGTCTATGGGGTTCCCCACAGCCCCACACATCCCCTCGTTGTTGACCTAGAGCTCCCCGACGAAACCCCCCCCAGCTCCTCACCTGGTGTCCACGGAGAACCCACCTTCTCCCCGATGTCCTCCAGCCCCCCTTTTTTTGTTTTTTTTTACCCCGTGGTGGGTCCCCCGGGGGGCGCCCCCCCCCAGCCCTCCAAGTAACGGGCGAAGAGCCCCTTGGCGCGGCGCAGGACGCGGGGCAGGTGGTGACGTCGCACCAGGCGGTCGAAGTGCATGGCCACCTCGTTGTAGTCACCGGCCCGCGCCATGACGGCCTCCCGTTGCTCCAAGAGCATGGCCAAGCAGAGGAAGAGGAGGAAGGGGTTCCCCTGCCCCAACTCCTCGGGGGGCGGGAGAGGCGCCCCGTCGTCCTCCAGACCCACCTCTTCCTCTTCCGAGGAGGAGGAGGAGGAAGAGGAAGAGGAGGAAGAGTCTTCCCAAGCCCAACCGCCTCCCCAAGGGTCTTCGGTGGCCTCCCCACCCGCGCTGGGGTGGTCACGTACCTCTTGGGGGTCTTCACCCACCTCGTTGGGGGAGCTGGGGGGGTTGTCAAGCTCCTTGAAGGCATCACCGACCCCTTTGGGGTCTTCACTAACCTCCTTGAAGGCATCACCAACCTCTTTGGGGTCTTCACCAACCTCCTTGAAGGCATCACCGACCTCCTTGAAGGCATCACCAACCTCTTTGGGGTCTTCACCAACCTCCTTGAAGGCATCACCGACCTCCTTGAAGGCATCACCAACCTCTTTGGGGTCTTCACCAACCTCCTTGAAGGCATCACCGACCTCCTTGAAGGCATCACCAACCTCTTTGGGGTCTTCACCAACCTCCTTGAAGGCATCACCGACCTCCTTGAAGGCATCACCAACCTCTTTGGGGTCTTCACCAACCTCCTTGAAGGCATCACCGACCTCCTTGAAGGCATCACCAACCTCTTTGGGGTCTTCACCAACCTCCTTGAAGGCATCACCGACCTCCTTGAAGGCATCACCAACCTCTTTGGGGTCTTCACCAACCTCCTTGAAGGCATCACCGACCTCCTTGAAGGCATCACCAACCTCTTTGGGGTCTTCACCAACCTCCTTGAAGGCATCACCGACCTCCTTGAAGGCATCACCAACCTCTTTGGGGTCTTCACCAACCTCCTTGAAGGCATCACCGACCTCCTTGAAGGCATCACCAACCTCTTTGGGGTCTTCACCAACCTCCTTGAAGGCATCACCGACCTCCTTGAAGGCATCACCAACCTCTTTGGGGTCTTCACCAACCTCCTTGAAGGCATCACCGACCTCCTTGAAGGCATCACCAACCTCTTTGGGGTCTTCGTTGATCTCTTTGGGGTCTTCGTTGACCTTTCTGGGGTCTTCGTTGACCTCTTTGGGGTCTTCATCAACCTTTCTGGGGTCTTCATTGACCTCTTTGGGGTCTTCACCAACCTTTCTGGGGTCTTCGTTGACCTCTTTGGGGCCCTCGTTGACCTTTCTGTGGTCTTTGTTGACCTCTTTGGGGTCTTCACCGACCTTTCTGGGGTCTCTGTTGAGCTCTTTGGGGTCCTCGTTGACCTCTTTGGCCACGTTGGGGTCTCCACCAACCTTCTTGGAAAGGCCACGGTCATCGCCCACCTTCTCCAGGGTCTTCAGGTCTTGGCGGAGCTTCTTGGAGACCCGGCGACCTTTACGAACCTTCTTGGGGACATCGGGGTCAGCGCCCACGTGGGGACCTTTGTCAGCTTTGGGGGAGACATCAGGGTCTCCACAAACCACCTTGGAGATGCTCGGTCGTTGGCCAATCTCCTTGAGGTTGACCTTCTTGGGAACGCCAAGGTCTTGGCCAACCTCCTTAGAGACGTTGGGATCTTCTCCAACGGCCTTGGGGCCGTCACGCTCTTGCCCACCAGCGTTGGAGGCTCTGGGGACCTTAGTGCCACCACGGACCTCCCCGGGGACCTTAAGGCCTCCCTGGCCACCCCCAGGGACCTTGGCACCACCGTGGACATCCAGGGAGGTCTTTGGGTCCTTCTGGGAGCCACCAGGACTCCGTTGGCCATCCCTGAAGACCTCAAGCTTCTCTCGTCTCTTGGATCCACCTTGGATGTCACCAGAGCTCTTGAGATCCTCCTGGTCATCCCCGAAGCTCTTGGGACTCTCCTGGACGTTCCTGGAGCTCTCTTGGAGATTGTTGGAGCTCTTGAGATCCTCCTGGTCATCCCTGAAGACCTTGGGACTCTCCTGGACGTTCCTGGAGCTCTCTTGGAGATTGCTGGAGCTCTTGAGATCCTCCTGGTCATCCTTGAAGACCTTGGGACTCTCCTGGACGTTCCTGGAGCTCTCCTGGAGATCATTTGAGCTCTTGAGATCCTCCTGGCCAACCCCGAAGCTCTTGGGACTCTCCTGGACGTTCCTGGAGCTCTCCTGGTCATCCCTGAAGACCTTGGGACTCTCCTGGACGTTCCTGGAGCTCTCTTGGAGATCGTTGGAGCTCTTGAGATCCTCCTGGCCAACCCCAAAGCTCTTGGGACTCTCCTGGACGTTCCTGGAGCTCTCTTGGAGATGGTTGGAGCTCTTTGGTTTCTCTTGGTCATCGCCGGAGCTTGTAGGAACCTCCGTGGATCCTTTGGAACCATCTTGGCCTTCACCAGAATTTCCAGAACCCTCTTGACCATCCCCACAACCCTGTTGGTGGCCACCTCGCCCACCGGTGGCCGCCGCCTCTTCCTCCTGCCGTCGACGATGGCGGCGCGGGGGCCGCGGCCGTAACCCCCTCCTCTCCCGTAGCCCTCGTCCGGCCCGACGAGGTCCTAGGGGAGCCCCCAAAAGTGGGACACCCTCCGGTGGGGGTGGCGGGGCCGGAGGTAATGAGCTCCAGGTGATCTCCAAGACCCGAAGAGCGTCTTCGAAGGCGAATTCCCTCTTGAGCTCCAAGAGCAACCAACGGTAACAAAAGAGAAGATCGTGGGCGCCGCGGGCGGCCAAAAAAGCCCAAAAAGAAGGATCGGCGCGACGTAAAAGACGACGAAGATGAGCGAAAGCACGAGCTAAACCTCGTCCTCCGGGTCGGAAACGAGGCCCCAAGCGTTTCATGAGGGAACAGAAACAAAGAAAAGCTTGAGCTTCGTCATCCAAAACGGCCAACAAAGGGGCGGCCACGTCGGACATGCCCTGGCAGTAAGAAAGTCGAGGGTGGCCCAAAGCGAAGGTGGTGAGGAGAGCTTGGAGGGCGGCCAAATGGGGGTGTCCTTCTTCGGGTCCCCCGAAATAAGGGTGTCCCCGATCGGTTCGGACGACGTCTTTTCGCACGGCGGCGCCCACCAGAGCCAGCTCGGCCGGAGCCGCTCGAGAAGCCAAAAGGGATTTTAAAGAAGAATATTCGGCGGCTTTTCGACGGAGGTGAGAGAGACGTTCCTGGCCCGACAGCCCCGCGGGGAACACGTTGAGGAGGTAACGCCACACCACCTGGGGGGGGAGGGGGGGAAAAAAGGGGTGAAATGAGGGAGGGGGGGAAAAAAAGGGGAGAAAAAAGTAAAGGGGAAAGAGGGGAGGGAAAGGGGAGGAAAGAAAAGGGAAGAGGAAAAGGGGAGAGAAGAAAAGGAAGGAGAAGAAAAGGGGAGAGAAGAAAAGGGGAAAAG